TCTGTGCTCCATGTATATTTTCTTCCTTGGTGATTACACTCAGTCTCATGAATGTAGATACTATACACATTCTGACAACTCCCAAATTTGTAATTCAGTCTTGATTTGTCTCTTGAAGCTTATTTTTCTATATTCAGCAGCTATATACTCTATATCTCTTCTTGGATGTTGGATAGACATCTGAAATTCAACATGCCTACAACTGAACTCCAATCTCTGCCTGTCCCCCAAACTTGAAATGATCCATTAGACTTACAGCCTTCCCATTCAGTGACTGATAACTTCTTTTTCTCAGTTGCTCAGGTCAAAAGTTCTGGAATCATCCTTGACCCTATTCTTTCTTTTACACTCCTCATTCAATCTGTCAGGAAACCCTACTGATTCCAACTTCCAAATAAATCCAGCATCCACTTTTATCACCAGTTTCATCCTACCATCAGCTCACACCTCGTTTCCTGAACAACCTTCAGTTTGTCTATGCCTCCACCCTTCTCCCTCTGCAGTGCATTCTTTACACAATTGCAGAGAGATTCTTGAAAATGGAAAACAGACCCTATGACTCTTCTGCTCAAATCATGCAATGGCTCTCCATTTTATTCAGAATAAAAGGAAAACTCACCAGTGTTGCTTTCTTTAACTCTCTCTTCATTTCACTCATTCAATCCAGCCACAGTGCCCTGCTCCCTTACTATTTCTCTAATATGCCTGGGAGTGGCAACTGTTTCTTCTTCCTGCAGCCCTTTCCTGGATGTCCACATGGCAGGAATTGAGATGAGAGAGATTGAGAATGACCTTATTCACCACAGTAAGGAATCTCACCTGAAGACACTACAGAGCCAAAGAAGATGCAATCTTGTTTCCCATTTGTTGAGACCAGGGCAGTGGTTGTCTGTGTTTGGGATTATTGATATGGAAAGGTGGAGAGCACTGTCAGGGAGGCCAACAAGCCCAGCATCTCTGGGGTGGGTCTCTTTTGGGTGCTCACTGCTTATTAGGTGGTTTTGACTGTGCTCTGCCCCATGAGAAGCACCCACCAGTGTTGCCTGTGGAGTGGCTGCTGCAGCTCTTGGGATGCTTGTATTCTTTCATGGCTCTTGCTTGTAAAGAAAAAAAAAAGTTTCATTTTGCTTGCCGAGTAGAAACAGGGTACAACTGCCCTGTATCCTTGCTTTGCTATCACTTCTTACTAATGACAAACTAGTGACTGCCCAGTTATACTATTGGCCTGGCAGCTGGGCTGGGTGACTTAAAATTGCTCCTCTTTAAGTTGACCTTATATGAAACAGCCTTTGAGGAAGGGGTATTTATATTTGTTTCTCCAAAGGCATTTCTGCAGTAGATGGGGAAGGGTGCTGGTAGGTGATGAAACTCAAAAGGCAGCCTATCTTATGGGAAAGAGGTCAAGATTTGACATCAGACAGACTTGAGTTTGAAACCTGTCTACACTTTTTAGTAGTTATGTAATCTTGAGCAAGTAGCATCAACTTTCTAAGCCTCAGTTTCCTCATCTATAAAATGGGAATAATAAAGCTTCCCTTGCAGGGTTGTTGTGAGCAGTAAATGATTCATGGTCACTGCTCAACACATAATTTGTGCTTGTTGGGGCTATGAAGCCCTATACTATCCATGAAGGAGGTTAGGAGGCAGCACAGTGACGCAAAGAAGCCCCTCCCCCATTTCCCTTGGCTTCAGATATTTTTTTGCTTCCTGAGGTGCCCCCTAGCTGACTGGATAATCTAGTACAAGAGCAGTCATTGAACCTTTGTTGTGTGGAGGACATGACTGACTTTTATAGGGCATGCTTTTTTGGGGGGAGCTCTGACCTCATCTGGAACTTCTCTGAAAAAGCTAAGCATTCCTCTTTATTACTGTTTAAGAGGCTGACAATGCAAAAGTTGATGAGGATATGGAGCCACAGGAGCTCTTGTTTACTGCTGGGGTGTGTGCTGGTAGGAACTGGTAGGAGCTTTGTGGAAAATGATACATTACTGCCCTGTGACTTGGCTGCCACATGTTGTATTACCCAGCCATTCCATTCCTGGATATGGAACTCTCCATCCTGTAGGGATAGGATATCCCATACTCCTTAATCTTTTTATTAGGAAATATATTTCAATCATATGAGTAGATATATAATAATATCTGCACATATAATTTAAGTAGTGACAATAATACAATGAACACTTGTGTATCCACCACCCAGCTTGAGAAATAGAACATTACCAAAAACCCTGTAGCCCCCTTGGTACACTGCAATCACTCTTTTGAAATAAAGTTTATTAATCCTTTACTCCTTTTTTAATAAATTTTATCACAGGTGAATATATCTCTTTTGTAGGTTTTTGAGCCTTATCTCAGTAGAAAGATTCTGTATGTGTTTCCTTTAGTCTGTTTTTTTGCATTTAATATTGCATTTATGAAATTTATCTATATTTTATATAGTATTCTCTTTCTTCATTTTACTACTGATGGATATTTGGATTGTTCCCCTTATTTTTCTCTATGAACATTTTTACTATGTTTATTTTCCCTTTTTTGTGCTACTGCGGACATTTCTGTGAATGCCTCCTGGTGTACCTGTGCACACATTTTTGTGGGTTACTGTTCCATATCCAGGAATGGAATGGCTGAGTCATACAACATGTGGCATCCAGGTCACAGGACAGTAATGCATTGTTTTCCACAGAGCTCCTACCTGCTTACACTCCACTTCCCACTGCTCCAAATTCTCATGAACTTTGTATTGGCCAACTTCTTAATGTTTGCCAAACTGAAGGGTGTTAAATGGTAACGTATTATGGTTTCCATACTCTTCTTTATAAGGATCTTTGAGGACCAACATAAAAGCCAACTCCAGTTGGGGACATGTTCCTGTGACTCCAAGTCCCCAGTTCACAAGGCTTGTCTGTCTCTACTTTTCTTAATTGGACAGCAGCTAGTGCTGGTGATGGGGCCAGGGCAGAGGCCGGAGACACAATTTGATGGGCCTTGTCTCTTTGAATTTGGAGATTTGTTCTGCCCACCCTGCGTCCTTCCACAACCTGCTCTTGACTGTTGATTAGTTTACTGTAAAGCCCTGGAGTGGCGCAGCTGTGTGAAGATGAGAAATAGGGTTGGTTTGTGGCTGGTGAGTGGCAGGCCATCCATCACTCTCAGGGGAAATTGCTCTTTTAAGGAGAAGTAGTGAATTGTTTCTGGCCTGGGTGTAAGTCAGGCAGTGGCTTGGAACAGTGACAGAGCTCTTAGCCATGGGCTGGATCCCCGATCAGTCATTTGTTGCTGCTGAAACTGTCACACTTTGAAAATTTGCTATGGATAGGCCACTTGATGAGTGGAGAAAAGCAGTGACAGTGCCTTCATCTCTGCCTCTTAAAAAAGATGTTCCAGGGTCTTCTGACTACTAGCTGACTCCCATCTGGGTCTGCTCAGCATCACCAGGGCCTGCTTCTCCTTTAGGATGGCCAAGAGCTGTTCATTTTCTCATTCTCTGATTCATTAGTTCAGTGGCTCTCAGCTGGGTGATTTTGCTCTCCAGGGAATATTTGGCCATGTCTGGAGACAGTTTTGGTTGTCATAACTGGAAGGCACTATTAGCATCTAATGAGTAGAGGTCAGGGATGCTGCTAAATATCCTACAATGCACAGGACAGCCTCTGCAACAAAGAATTATCTGGCCCAAATTGTCAACAGTGCCAAGGTTGAAAAACACTGCATTAATTCTTTAAATGTTCAACAAATATTTATTGAATACTGGTGATGGGCCAGAAACTATCCAGCATAAAGGATAGCTGTGTTCAGCATGGGAGTTTTGGGGACCTTTCACCCTCAGGGCCCCTGTGTCTATTCGAATCCAGCAGTTCTCATTCTGACATTGACTCCTTGGTCAGATGGGAAGACACTTGCTTTTCAGAACTTTTCCCTAGCTTCTCCCTGTTTTAATCAATGCTGATCATCCATCAGGCCCAAATCTGGGAGGCAGATGATGAGGAATGCAGCAGTCAGTGGACCAGGTAGAGATGATGTCAGGCAGTGCACGGGTGTGGAGGCTGACCATGGAGTAACCTAATGCAGGGCAAGACTGTGGCTGTGCTTGAAGGGGTCAGTGAGGTGTGAAGGCTGAAAGCAGGAGCCTGGATGTAATACTGGACCTCCCCTTGTCAGCTGTGTGGCCCTAAGAATGTTACTATACTCAAGGGCCTTGGTTTTCTCATCTGTAAGATGGGGACATTGAGAGCACTGAAGGTGGAGATTAGTATGAGGATTATGTGTACTGATCCATGTGGAGATGTTCCAGAGTCCCAGAGAAGCTTCACTTTTGTGAGCCTAAGCTGGGTATGCGAGCATTGGGGACCATTCTGGTCTTATCCTTCTGGTGGCTGAGTTTTCCATTAGAATGTTGTCATTTCCACCTTCCTTTGTTTCCTTTTAGACTGTATGCAGAGAATGGTTGATGTCCTGGAGGCTCAGAATCTCCTTACCTACTTCCCTCTAGCTCAAGGCTACTTCAGTAGCAGCACCTGTCTAGCCATGTTAGAGGGGCCATATTGGAGCTTCAAGCAAAAGGGACAATTAGAAATATGGATCCCACTTTTGTTTAAAATCTTGATATTTTCTTCATCATGGATTTTTTTGCATTAATTTAAATTTTTAGAAATATTGCATTAAAATATTTATCTTGACTGTTGAGTTTTTGGTGCCCCTAAATTTTGCCCCCAAAGTGAGTGCCTCACTTGCCATATCCTAGAACTGGCTCTAGTTCTGGCAAATGAATCTGGCAGGTGGATCTTCCATCACTGTCTCATTCCCACCCTCACATCCTTAATCCTTGCCCCCATTTCTGTCTTCTTCCACATCTTCCTTTTCCATTCTTCATTGCCCTTCCCATACTCACCCCATTTCCAGTCTTCATAGAACCAAACCCCAAATATGCAGAGCTCTGTATGTGAGGGCAAGAAAGATGAAGACTGGGAGAGTATGTGGCTGATGTGGCCTGAACCTACCTGTTGGAGGGCAGTGTCCAACCCAACAGCCCAAAGTCATCTCACAGGAACCATGGGGTTCATTCCCTCCAAGTCTGGAATTCTTAGATTGTTCTGTTGCCTGGAGACTGTAATGACCATGGCAGTGTGCCTGGCTCTGCATCTCTGACCTCCCTGTCACCAGGGGATCTGCAGCCCATAGTCTGGAAGCCTCACTGGGAGGCAGGGCTGCACCTGCTGGAATCATGGACGGTACCCTCCCACTTTAGGGCAACAGCAGAATCTGGTGTACAGACCTCATACCTCTTCTGATGAAGATAGATCACCATCTGAGCACCAGTCTTATTTATGCATTTTCATAGCACTGGTCTGGTCTGGATGATGTCAACAGGGGAAAGGCCTTCTGGCATCAATTCCGGGGGGAAAAGACTGCCAGGCATACCATCCATCCCCAGGCCAGCACAAGGGGGACTAAGGCCCACTCTTCACTTGGCAGCCCCAGCAGGAAACAACAGCAGCCATTCTGTAAGAAGTTCTCTTTCTCCCCCACCCCCTCACCCCCCAAGCCCTAGGCAACCACTAGTCTACTTACTGTGTATATAAATTTTCCTGTTCTAGACTTGCTGTATAAATGGAATTATAAAATATGTTTTTGTGTGTGTGTATGTGACAGGCTTTTTCCATTTAGTAAAATGTTTCCAAGATTCATACATGTTGTATCATATATCATTCCTTTTTATTGCCAAATAATATTCTACTACATGGCTATATCACATTTTATTTATTCATTGAGCAGTTGATGGACATTTGAGTTGCTTCCATTTTTTGGCTATTATGAACATTTATGTAAATTTTTTGTGTGGTATATGTTTTCATTCCTTTTAACTAAGAATGGAATTGTTGGGTCATATAATAACTCTCTGTTTAACTATTTAAGGAAATTCCAACCTGTTTTCCTAAGCAACCGTACCATTTTACATTCCTAGCAGCAATGTATGAAGATTCCAATTTCTGCAGATCCTTACCAACACTGGCTATTATCTACCTTTTTGGATATAACAGTTCTAATGGGTACGAAGTGATATCTCACTATGGTTTTGATTTTCATTTCTCTAATGATTAATGATGTTGAGCATATTTTCATGTATGTATTAGCCATTTGTATATCTTCTTTAGAGAAATGTGTATTCAAATGTTTTGTCTTTTTTTAAATTATGTTGTCTTTTTTATTATTCAGTTGTAAGAATTATTTATATATTCTGGATACTAGTCCCTGGATACTAATCAGATATGTTTGATTTACAAATATTTCCTCCCATCCCCGTGGTTGTTTTTTACTTTCTTGATGATAGCATTTGCATCACAACATTTTTAATTTCAGTGCATCCATTTTATGTTGTTGTTGTTCGTGTTTTTTGTGCCACTTCTAAGAAACCATTGCTTAATCCAAGGTTATGAAGACTTACTAAACCTGTGTATTCTTTTAAGAGTTTTATAGTTCTAACTTCTATACTTAGGTTTATGATAGATTTTGATTTTTATATAGGATGAAAGGAAGGGATCCACATTTATTCTTCTGTATGTGGGCATTCAGCCCTTCTAGTGCCATTTGTTAAAAAGATTGTACTTTCCCAATTGAACTGTCTTGGCATCTTTGTTGAAAATCAGTTCACTATAAATGTGAAGGTTTATTTATGGATTCTTAATTCTATTCCACTGATCTATATGTTTTATCCTTGTGCCTGAACCATACTGTCTTGACTATTATAGTAAGTTTTGAAATCAGGAAGTGTGAGTCTTTCAAGTTTGTACTTTTTCAATATTGTTTTAGCTAGAGTGGACCTTTTGCAATTTCCAGTGAATGTTGTCATGTACTGAATTTGTGCCCCTTGAATTCATGTATTGAAACCCTAACCCCCAACGTGATTGTACCTAGAGAAAGGGACTTTGCAGAGATAACTAAGGTTAAATGAGATCATAAGGGTGGGGCCCTAATCCAAAAACTTTTGTGTCCCTATAAAAAAAAGAAAGTGACACCAGATCTATCTCTGTCTCTGTCTCCCTCCATGCACACAGAGAAGAGGCCAGGTGAGGACACAGTGAGAAGGCATCCATCTGCAAGCCAGGAAGAGAACTTTCACCAGAAAATGAATTTTCTGTCACTTTGATTGTGGACTTGCATCCTTCACAAATATGAGAAAATAAATGTCTGCTGTTTACCACATAGTCTGGTATTTTTTTTTTACGGAAGACTTGGCAGACTAGTTCACTGCCTTCTGTTTGTTTGTGTTTGTTTTATTTTTCCAAGTTTTTATTTAAATTCCAGTTAGTTAACATACAGTGCACACTAGTTTCTTACGTAGAATTTAGTGATTCATCACCCACATACAACACCTGGTGCTCATCATAACAAGTGCCCTTCTTTTTTTTATTATGTTAATCACCATACATTACATCACTAGTTTTTTTATTTTTAATAATTTTTATTGTTATGTTAATCACCATACATTACATCATTAGTTTTTGATGTAGTGTTCCATGATTCATTGTTTGAGTATAACACCCAGTGCTCAATTCAGTACGTGCCCTCTTTAATACCCATCACCAGGCTAACCCATCCCTCCACCCCCATCCCCTGATCCCAAAACCAGACAAAAACCCCATCAGAAAGGAGAATTACAGACCAATATCCTTGATGAACATGGATGCAAAAGTTCTCACCAAAATACTAGCCAATAGGATCCAACAGTACATTAAAAGGATTATTCACCACGACCAAGTGGGATTTATCCCTGGGCTGCAAGGTTGGTTCAACATCTGCATATATATATATATATATATGTATATACACATATACCACATCTTCTTTATCCATTCATCAGTCAATGGACATTTGGGCTCTTTCCATAATTTAGCTATTGTTGATAATGCTGCTATAAACACTGGGGTGCACATATCTCTTTGAATTAGTATTTTTGTATTCTTTGGGTAAATACTTAGTATTGTAATTACTGGATTGTAAGGTAGTTCTATTTTTAACTTTTTAAAGAACCTCCATACTGTTTTCCAGAGTGGCTGTGACAATTTGCATTCCCACCAACAGTAAGAGGGTTCCCCTTTCTCCACATCCTCACCATCACTTGTTGTTTCTTGTGTTGTTGATTTTAGCCATTCTGATAGGTGTGAGGTGATATCTCATTGTGGTTTTGATTTGTATTTCCCTGATGATGAGTGATGTTGAGCATGTGTCTTTTCCATCTCTCTGTTTTCATGTTTGTTTTTCATGTGTCTGTTAACCATCTGAATGTCTTCTTTGGAAAAAATGTCTATTCACGTCTTCTGCCCATTTTTTAAAAATTGGCTTATTTGTTTTTTGGGTGTTGAGTTTGACAAGCTCTTTATATATTTTGGAAACTAACCCTTTATCAGATATGTCATTTGCAAATATCTTCTCCCATTCCATAGGTTGCCTTTTAGTTTTGTTGACTGTTTTCTTTGCTGTGCAGAAGCTTTATTTTGATGAAGTCTAAATAGTTCATTTTTGCTTTTTTTCCCTTGCCTCAGGAAACATATCTATTAAGAAGTTACTATGGCTGATGTCAAAGCGGTTACTGCCTATGTTCTCCTCTAGGATTTTGATGATTTCCTCTTTCAAATTTAGATCTTTCATCCATTTTGAATTTATTTTTGTGTATCGTATAAGAATGGTCCACTTTTATTCTTTTGCATGTTGCTGTCCAGTTTTCCCAACACCATTTGTTGAAGAGATTTTTTTCCCATTGGATATTCTTTCCTGGTTTGTCAAAGATTAATTGAACATATAATTGTGGGTTTATTTCTGGGTTCTCTATTTTGTTCTATTGATTTATGTGTCTATTTTTGTGCCAGTACCATGCTGTTTTGATTATTACAGCTTTGTAATGTAACTTGAAGTCTGGAATTGTGATACCTCTAGCTTTGTTTTGCCTTTTCAGCATTCCTTTGGCAATGTAGGGGCTTTGTAGTGCTATATAAATTTTAGAATTTTTTGTTCTAATTCTGTGACAAATGCCTTTGGTATTTTGATAGGGATTGCATTAAATGTGTAGATTGATTTGGATAGTATATACATTTTAACAGTATGTTCTTCCAATCCATGAGCGTGGAATGTCTTTCCACTTCTTTGTGTCATCTTCAATTTCTTTCATCAGTGTTTTATAGTTTTCAGAGTACAGGTCTTTCACCTCTTTGGTTAGGTATATTCCTAGGTATCTTATTATTTTTGATGTGATTGCAAATGGGATTGTTTTCTTAATTTTAATTTCTGCTGCTTCATTATTAGTGTATAGAAGTGCAACAGATTTCTGCACATTGATTTTGTATCCTGTGACTTTACTGAATTCATTTCATCAGTTCTAGTAATTTTTTGGTAGAGTCTTTAGGGCTTTCTATACAGAATCTAATGGGATCTGCAAATAGAGAAAGTTTTATTTCTTCCTTACCAATTTGGATGCCTTTTATTTCTTTTTGTCATCTGACTATTGTGGCTTGAACTTCCAGTACTATGTTGAATAAAAGTGGTGAGAGTGGACATTCTTGTTCCTGACCTTGGCAAAGGCTCTCAGTTTTTTCCCATTGAATATGATGTTCCATATATGACCTTTATTATGTTGAGATATGTTCCCTCTAAACCTATTTTATTGAGGGCTTTTATCATGATTGGATGTTGTACTTTTTCAAATGCTTTCTCTGTGTCTATTGAAATGATCATATGGTTTTTAACCTTCTCTTGTTGATGAAATCAATCATGATGATTGATTTGCAAATATTGAACCACACTTGCATACTGGGAATAAATCTCACTTGATCATGGTAAATGATTCTTTTAATGGATTGTTGGATTCTGTTTGCTAGTATTTTATTGAAGATTTTTTTATTATTATGTTATGCTAATCACCATACATTACATCATTAGTTCTTGATGTAGTGTTCCATGATTCATTGTTTGTGTATAACACTCAGGGCTCCATGCAGTACGTGCCTTCTTTAATACCCATCACCAGGCTAACCCATCCCCCCACCCCCCTCCCCTCTAGAACCCTCA